ACTTCTCCGTAAACTGGAAACCCAAATTCTTTTCCTTCTCCCATCCCATCTGCCATGCAAATCCATGAAAGCAAGCCAGCCCTCCAGCACCAACCCCCTGTTTTCGCGATATTCTCGACATCGTAGCGAACTACGTTACATCCTCACCCCTACGTGCTCGCAAGCCTTTCTGGCCATGGGGATGAAAACAAGTACACCTAGTCCTCGGAAATTTCACGCCCTCAATTTGGTCAATATTGTCTGTAGTGGGGGGGGGGGGGGGGGGGGGGGGGGGGGGGGGGGGGGGGGGGGGGGGGGGGGGGGGGGGGGGATGAAATTGGCCGTAACTGTAGGGGAGTCTGTAGGGGGCAAACCTACACACTCCCCTAAAACCCTCTTCAAACCGCTTTAAAATCTTCTTAAATCACACATCAAACTCGCATGCGCTGTGAACGAACAATTGGTGGGCGTGCCCCTGTCGAGCACCCACGAAAAGTTAAGGGGGGTTAAAATTGGCCTTAGTGAAGTTGGCGCGGTCTCGGTGTACATCGCACCTGAATCTACGGATTTTTTCGCACACAGTGATTTGCGGCGGAGCTCTCGGGTCCGGCCGGATTCGTATGGGTGACTCCAAACGAATCAACGGCTTGTACCTACACAGCTCCCCCTCCCCTCTCCCGCCGATTCCCTGGATTCCCGTAACCTATCACAGGCTCCGTCGTTTGGGGATTGTATGTGAATATGTGGCTCCCGTGACCCGTTCCCCCTAGAGCAAAAATCCAACCAATGGGGTTCAGTCGTTGAAATTTCCTATTTCCTCAAATCTTAGCGGCCCTCACGACGAGTTACGAACGAGTGACAACATTGCACCATACTGCTGCTTCCCTCGCCACTTGTCACATGTCAGACATCCGCGTGTCAAATCAAATGTTCATACGCGCCCAAACGCTGAAACCCGGGCGAACGCGGGATCGCGCGTGCTCGCGGAACAATCTGCCCGCGGGCAAAAAAAACTAAAACCCAACGCGACCGGCATGCGGTTCGGGAGCATCAACCGGCTCCCGAACCGCATGCCGGTCGGCTTAGGGTTTATTTTTTTCCCCCCGGGCAGATCGCTTCCGCCGGCTCCGCATCCTGGTGGAAACGGAATCCACCAGGAGGGGCACCTGGTGGATTTGTTTCCACCAGGACGCGTTTGGGCGCGGATGAACCCTTAGGACGCGGCACCTGTAGCACCGATCCTGCGATCGATCCTGCGCAGGATCGATTTTTTGCGGAGTTAAGAACTGTGTTGGGAATTTTAAATGCTTTCAGAGAGTTTTAGTGCGGTGCAATCAGCGATCCTGCGATCGATCCTGCAAAATTGCTAGAGGTTCCGCGTCCTTAGCGGCCCTCACTTTGCCTGCCTTCGGCTGCTATGACGAGCAAGGAGTGCAACATTACCTTGGTAAATGCATGGTTCATAGTGCATGTACTTTTCTCCTTATGCCCGAGCGCGGTGCCAGCCGTCTTTCCTGTGCAGAATAAACGAGCGGCTACAAGTTAGATTTTTGTCGATTCAAGCATAACGGTAGATTTCAAACCGTCGGAATTCGTAGTGAATGGCGTTTCATACACCCCTCACCACTTCCCTTCGCGCGAAGCTGAGAAAAAAAACGGCAGAATGATTGAGCGCGATGAAGAGCGCACCTCCACCGTTTATCTTCAAGGTAGTGACAGTCTATACTCGTCTCACTGTATATTTTCGCTGTTGCTTCACGTCTCACATCCAGGGTCGTTTAGTCTTTGTAACACCTCGCTACCCACTGGGTCAAAACGAGGGTTATATTTGAGGCGCAGCGGATGCACTCATACCCTTACGTGTAAGCCCCATAGGCGTTACAGTCTTACTAGAACTCTGTCATCGTCCCTATCTACGGTTCGCATTGAGACGAGTTCGTTTCAGTACGTCTAGTAGATGAATTAGTTTGGCCTCTAGTCTGAGCGACGAGTCTACCCGTCAGGTCGTTGAGTCAACGATTTTTTAGTACCAACGTGAATCACCAACCATGACAACGATTCGACATGGCTTTCTCTGTTAGAATCTAGCAGCAGGAATGAGTGAACTAACAGGATGCAGGAGTACAAGTAGTAAACCCTAATTGGGTTGTACCCCATATGGGCTACCCCACTACAGCCTAGACAATATGCAGCACATATAGTTTGACACACCCCCATAGGCAAAGTGGGGGAGAACAAGGGGTCACACGACCAGTCAAGAGAAGCAAAACAAGCTCAGGGTGGATCACAACGTCACCACGCATTCCGAGCACAAGCAAAAGGTCACAGGGCCAGTTCACATGCAGAGATATATATGCAGCAATAACAGTACAGTGATGGCTACCTAGCAAGAGCCAGCATGCAGGTATATATATAGATCACAGTACAAACAGAGACTACAGCAAGTGCGGAAACGTAGGCACAAGGCCCAACAGAGTACAAAAGCGCTGATGATCACCAGACGGAAGTGCCTTGGTGAATATATCAGCAGTGTTGGCCCGAGTGGCCACGTGGCGAAGACGAAGCTGGCCTCGCTGCTGCAACTCTCGAGCCAGGAAGTAACGCAGAGCAATGTGCTTCGTTCTGTGCTCCAGTCTGTGCTCCTCACACAAGGCAATGGCGGCCTTGTTGTCGACGTACAGCACTGGAGGAGAACGAGGCTGCTCTCCCAAGTCAGTCAGCAGGTAGGTGAACCAGCGTAACTCCTGTGCAGCCATGGCAGTGGCGTAGATCTCAGCCTCACAACTGGAGCCGAGAACTGAAGACGAGCGTGTAGAACGCCACGAAACTGAACCAGAGCCAAGGCTGAAGGTGTAACCCTGCGACGACCGCTGAGTAGCCAGGTCGTCAACCCAAGAAGCGTCTGAGTGCCCAGTGAGGACAACTGGGCTCGTCCCTCCAAGCACTAGCCCCATGCCTGATGTGCTGCACAAGTAGCGCAGTACCCTCTTAGCAGCAGCCATGTGCTCAGGTCGGTGCCGACCAGGAGCCACGTAGCGAGCCAGAAGACCAAGAGGGTACGCGAGGTCAGGTCAAGTGCAAGTCATCAGGTACATGAGGCAGCCGACTAGCTCTGGGTAAGGACCACTCGGCTCTACGGACTCGTCCGAAGGTGGAGCTGAGAGCGAATGACCTGTAGCCAGAGGAGTGGCCTGTGCTGAAGACCAGGTGAAGCCGAAGCGCTGAAGGACCTGCTGCACCATGTGTGACTGAGTCAGGGTGATGGTGCGGCGTGCTCTGTCCCGGGTGATCTGCAAGCCAAGGTAGCTGCGCAGCTCACCCAAGTCTGTGCACGTCTGTCTCTTCTGCAGCTCCGACTTCACGTGGGCGAGAGCCTCAGTGTCAGAAGTGGCAAAAACCAAGTCGTCGACGTACACGAGGATGTAGAACGGTGGCAGTGAAGTGTCGGTGCGCAGAAACAGCGACGGGTCAGCAGTAGAAGGCGCGAACCCAAGAGCCGCAAGCGTAGTCCTCAGTGTGTCGTGCCACTCACGTGGCGCCTGGCGGAGACCGTAGACCGGCCGCCGGAGGCTCCACTGGGTGCCAGGAGGGAACGACCCAGTGAAGCCCGGGGGGCGGCGCAGCCAGATCTCCTCGTGCAGGCTGCCCTGCAAGAAAGCTGTGCTGAAGTCAAGAGAGTGAAGCTCGTAGTCACGGTGAGCAGCAACATGCAGCAGCACCCGAAGAGTGGTCATCTTCGGGATGGGGGAGAAGGTCTGGAAGAAGTCAACTCCCTCTCGCTGACTGAAGCCTCGAGCTACGTAACGCGCCTTGAAGACAGGCGGAGAACCCGGCGGCCGCTTCACCCTGAAAATCCACATGCCACTGACGATGTTCGCCCCAGGTGGGGGAACCTCGTCAACGTAGGTGCCTGTGGACTTCCAGGAAGCCATCTTTGCGTCCATGGCTGCCTGCCACTGAGAGGAGTAGGGACCCTCTATCGCCTCTGCGTAAGAGCGCGGAGTCGGGATGTCTGGTGCATCCGGGTCTCCCTCAGGGGCAAGTAGCGAGGACACAAGATGAGGTAAAGCAGCAGCAAGACACTGGAACTCCTCCTGCCTGTCCTCAAGGACGTCCGTGCTAAGAGCACACTCACCCCCGACGGACGGAGGACAGACAGACTCAGACTCAGCAACAAGACTGGCGGTGTAGTCTAGACGACAGGCAGCAGCAAAGTCAACAAGCTCAGCGACCAAGGCAGACGCAGCAGTAGACTCAAACGACAGGTCAGTGACAATAGTGGCTAGGAGACGCGTGACAGTAGGGTGCTCAGTACGAAACCGGTCAGACTCAGGGTCCGGAACGGCAGGCAGAGAGGACGCAGGAGGAGACGGCAGAGGAACAGGCGGCGGAGCAGAGGAAGGACAACGGACTACGAGGTGTGCGCCGGGGACAGCCGGCTGACGCGAACGAGGAACACGACGACCGGTACGACCAGGACGAACAGGCGAAACAGGACGCGACGCAGGCTCACGACGCTCAGCAGGACTACCAGTCAGCTCAGCGTAAGGAGAAGGAGCAGGCAGCGGTGAGCCAGACTGTAACGGAAGACCAGTAGACGACGGAAGAGTAAGAACCTAACGAAGAACAGAGGCAGACAGCGGCAGAGACGACGGAGACGGCGGAGCGAAGAACAGTCGTGTCGGCGCAGCTGCACCAGTACCAGCAGCTCCAGCAGCTCCAGTGCCTCCAGCAGCTCCAGTACCTCCAGCAGCTCCAGTACCTCCAGGCCCAGAGCCGACACCTCGAGTCCCAGGGTCTCCAACCTCTGTGTCTCCAGCAGCAGCACCCCCAGAACCAGCACCTCCAGCTCCAGGGTCTCCAACCTCAGTGTCTCCAGCAGCAGCACCCCCAGAGCCAGCACCTCCAGTCCTAGGGTCTCCAGCCTCAGTGTCTCCAGCACGAGCCCCTCCAGAACCAGCAACTCCAGCACCTCCAGTAGACAAAGGACCAGCACGACTCCGAGCTCCAGCAGCGCGGCG